AGAGGAAGAAAAAAAAAAAAAACAACACCAGCACAGCCCTCAGCTAAGAAAGCTAACATTTAACAAACAAAACCTTTTCTAGAACCTGTAAGTCAAGGGGAGATTGAAAGGGGGGGTAGATAGGGCTTTGCATCTGCTTTGGGGGCAGAATCCTTGAAGATTGTGATAGAAAAAGGAAGCTCTAGACCACAAGAGGGAAAAGGTGCTCCCTGAATTTAGCCTGAGAGAAAAATGAAAAGCCATTCTGTTTCTCAAGTGGTAAATTTAAGATTCAAATAGACAGAGCAAGGTCTGCATTTAGAGGCCAGCCTTCTTCCAGAAAGGTCCAGTGACCCCTGCAGAATTAGAAGGTCTCTGAACACCCAAATAAGGCAAATTGCTCTAGAGTCTAGACCAGTGGGTCTCAACCTTCCTAATGCCATGACCCCTTAACAGTTCCTCATGTTGTGGTGACCCCCAACCATAAAATTATTTTCGTTGCTACTCTATAACTGTAATTTTGCTAATGTTATGAATCGTAATGTAAATATCTGATATGCAGGATGTATTTTCATTGTTACAAATTGAACATAATTAAAGCATAGTGATTAATCACAAAAACAATATGTAATTATATATTGTGAAATATTTATAATTCATGAAGTGTCGTTTTACCTCCAATACTGCTGCTTTCTACACAGTAGCTGCTCTCTACACGTGTGACTGGTCCGCATAAGTACATTATGGTGCCAACCCTGTCACATACACCTGTATTTGTACCGGGTGTATGTGATAGGGTTGGCGCGATGATGTCATCACGCCAGGTACTCGTCTGTGGGCGTATCTGCATGTGGGCGGACCCGCCTGGAGACGGATGGAGGAGCGGTGGCTCGGTTCCTAAGACCATCGGAAAATATGTGTTTTCCGATGGTCTTAGGTGACCCCTGTGAAATGGTCGTTCAACCCCCAACGGGGTTGCGACCCACAGGTTGAGAACCGCTGGTCTAGACAGAGGGACAAGCCTAGGGAGGTGGTATTTAGAATGCAGAGTCTCAGGTCCAGCCTGCGCCGCCCAAAGCTACACAAGGCCCTGGAAGAAGCAGCGTTGTTGTTGCATGACTGTTCCGCCCATCCTACGCCCTCTTTCCATTTTAAAGTTGCTCGACACCACCCCCGATTCCAAAATCTTGAAGACTCCAAGGTATCATTACTAAACAGAAATGATGGGTGGAGATGACAGAGGCTCTGGAAATTGTGCTTAACTTCTGTTTTTTACAGGTGAGGCTAACGAGCTCTTTTCAGGTAAAAGAAATCGCTCAGAATCACATAACCATTTAGTCATCGAGGGAAGACCTGACCCAGGGCCACAGACAACCATGCAGTGCCTCTGTCCCTCTATGGTGCTGCATTGTTGGTAAGTGTTCATGTAACCACCAGCAGGCCTTTGACACTTGAACGCTGTGTCCCAGGCCTGAAGGAATTCGTAGAAATGCTGCATTAGGTTTCTTTAAGCTGTGTTTGGTCAGGGGGCCAATATCAAAATCAGAAGCCAATACCACTTCCTGTTGACTCCTGCCTGGAGGAGTGGTTACTGCATCAACACAGAGGTCTTATTAAGCCAGATTCTCCTCCAAGTGCATTAACTCTTAAAGGTCATTTCTTGCCACAGAGCTTTAGTCCTGCCTTAGTTGCTGAAAGAAAAGGGCTTCTAAGAAGTGGCTAAAGAAGATACAACTCAATGGAAGCATGAGTTCTACTCGATTGGTCTAATGCCAAGTTGTATTAAGTAGCAACCCACTGAACACCGTCCAATGCCGTGATGCTCCAAGCCCATGGTTCCCAAACTTCAGCAGGCATCACAATCCCCTGGAGAGCTTGTTACAACACAGACTGCTGGGCCAGTGCCAGGGTCTCTGGTTCAGTCGGCCTGGGTTAGCGCCGGAGACTCCGCATTTCTAACAATTCCAGGTGATGGGGAGGCTGCTGGTCTGGGGACCACATTAGGAGCACCACCGCTCCAAGCAGCCACCCTACCTTCAACGGGCTCAGCCACTGAAATGCTAAAAGGGGCCGTATGGGAGGTTAGTCTGGCTATGGTGACTTCGCAGCTGGGAGGACAACTTGGCGCAGAGTGGAACTCATTGTGTGCTCTCGGAGAGGGGTGTTACTCAACATCAGTGGGCAGGCCAAGTCCCAGAGCAGTACTTTGGCAAGAGCAGAGGTATTGCCACCCTTCCTCCCACTTTTCCTTCGGGTAAATATTATAAATCAAAACTGCACGGCATCCCAGCTAGACAACCCATGTGGGTGTGACTGGGGCTCTGTAGGGGGCATCACCTGATCCAAAAGCCTTACCTTTATTCTTGAGGGTACCTGAGAGCCCAAACGGTGAAGGAAGGTAAGCTGTTGATTCAGTAGGAGAGAAACGTCCAGAACCCAGGTCTCCAGCACCCCAGCATGCGAGCCCGCCTCTCGATTAAATCATTGTGTCCTACAGAACCGCTCTTCAAAAAACGTGTTTGATAAAAGCTTCTTTGCAACACCCTTCAGCCCTTCCCCCATCCCACAGCCATAGGCATTCAGAATTCAATAAAAAATAAAAATTCTTTTGAGATTGGGTATCCTCTAAAAAGTGCAAACCTTCAGTTTTTAAGGTCATTCATAGAAGCCATGCCCAAGGATTTGAAGAGTCTGACCCACTAGCCACGTTTCTGACACACACGTGCTGCTCTGGTTGGTTTATATACATTCCATCCCCTTTATTAGGGACAAAGGAACCACACAGTTCATATCCAGTAGCTCTAAAAGACTAAAGGCCAATATTCCAGAGTTTTGTAACAGAGCCTGGAAACAGTCAAGACACTTCTTATGATGGGGGCTGACAGTGCATCCGAAGCAGAAACCAGGTTTCCCCCATTTATGAAAGCAGGGAAGGACAGACCTTGTATGTGGACCAACTTTACACAGTGCTGCTGTGCATTTACTTAGCACCTTCCGGACTACCTCTGAACAAACCTGCGAGGCATAAGTGGGATCAATACCTTCGATATCCAAACCTTCTATGTCTGCTGGGAGCCAGGCCCTGTGGCAAAAATTTCATTTGGATACCACAGGAAAACTGCCAGGTGGTTATGATTTATATAGATGAGACAATGGGAGCTCAGAGAATGTTCATCACCTTCCCGAGATCCTATAGCTTGGTCATGGGGTGATGATGGTGGTGGTGGAGCCAACCATTATTATTATTATTTTTTAATAATGTCTGACTATTTTGTAAAGCCAGGTGATTTGCAGCTTGTCTTTGAAAAAAAAAAAAAAAAGAACATGGTTATTTGCAAACAGACTTTAGAGCAGGTTGTGGGGAGGGGTGGGGGAGGGGTGGGAATGACTCAGTCAGGGTGCCAAATATTAGTTAAAGGTCTTGGGCGGCGTTTCTAAATTCCAGACAGGCAGCACTGAACCCATGAAGTCCTTCTAAAGGACAGTGGAGGCTCTCCTTCTAATAAAACCTCTGCCCTCCGAATCCAGAAGGGTCCCCTTAAACCTCGGGCTCCTCTGCTTTAGAATATTTCGTTAGATTTAGATTATGGAAGAGCTACTCAGCAATGCTCATTGTAAGCATTCCTGGTGAGGGCAAAGAAGAAATGTGGAGCTGAGAAGAAAAGGGGACAGCAGAGCATGCCTGAAGAGGCTGGGACACGTGGGGAACACTTGTTTAGGAAGGCTCTTCAGCTGCTTTGACAGCAAATCCAAGTCTTCAGATGTCAGGCAACATGACCCAAGAAGAAAAAAGAAGCAGGATCCTAGGTATAGAAGCTGAATGAATTTGTGTTAACTGAGGAACAATGGATCAGAAAGAAAGGAGGCGAGATGCCCCTACCTACAGTTACCGTGTTCCCCTGAAAATAAGACCTAACTGGAAAATAAGCCCTAGCATGATTTTTCAGGGCGCTTGTAATATAAACCCTACCCCAAAATAATCCCCAGTTAAGCTCTCCAGCCAGAAACAACTGTATTTGAATACACGTAGATTTCTGCACATGAAAAAATGAATGTGTCTTTTGGAGCAAAATTTAATCTAAGACGTGGTCGTATTTTCGGGGAAACATGGTAGCTATAAAGCAGGGCAGAGGTTGTGATGGCAAATGAGCTAAAATAAAGCTGTGATGGACTGACCTTTAGCTTCCCACGTGGCAAAGCTGGCATTGAAGTTTACTCTTCTACTGAGATGTGAAAGGAAGGGGCGAAGTTCCTTAAACTCTTAACAAGGGTGCCATAATTGGCCATTCCAATTATCGGAGTTCCATACCCACCCTTTCCTCCGTTATCTGATGTTTCAAAAGACTAATGGCACTCAAAGGACATCTTCCAGGGTAGCAATCTTAGGTTCTCATGTCAGCTCCTTTCTGAAGGTCTTCCAGATGATCATGACGTGGAGATTATTAAGCACTTCCCCTGGGCTGGCACTGTGCTGAGAGCTTTGTCTGCAATATCGCATTTAACCCTACAGCAACTCTGTGAACTTATTATCATTTTGCAGAAGGGGGGAAAGCTAAGCGAGGCCAAGTGACTTGCCCAAGCACGTGGCTTACAGTGGGCATAGTCTCAGAGTCAGATTTTGAGACCAGAGCCCAAGCATGTATCCAGGCTGAGTACAAACTATTCCATAACCCCCTTGCAGTCTTTTGCCTTTATATATGCATTTCTCTCAGCAAATTTCATTGGTCTCCTAAAGAAAATTAAGAACCATTGCCCTAGAGGAAGCAGGACCCAATGCCAGCCACATGGACCTGATGGCAAGGGTGATACAACAGCTTCCTTTTCCCCCCTCAGAAGGGTATCCCATCTGCCTGGATGTCCTTCCTACCACTGAGACCATTTCCCACACAGGCTCGATTCACTCAACCGGAGGGGGCCACCTTCAGCTGTGAACACCCCCCCGCGCAGCCTTTTTTGCTGAGCTGTCTTCTGTGCCATGAATGCACACAGCTCCGTGCTGGCTCTGCTGTCAGTCCTGCACCATGGGGCTTCACAGTGCACAGGGGGAGAAGCTGGCCCCACAGCTCCGTGTCTGTAAGCAGCTCGTTTTGCTCAACTCAGTCAGCAACAGCTTAGGCACCCGCGCTCTTGAGGCCTATTATTTGTGGGGAGGAAGTGTTACTAAAGTGTGAGCTCTTGCTTAACAAGAAGGGTGCTTGCACAGATTGCAATGAAAACTTCCCTCCACCCCAGATACGGCCCTCAACACCCCCCCCCTCCCGACAACACACACGTACACAGAGCAAATTGCCTTGCAGATTTAGATCTGAACTTCCCAACTGGCAAGCCATGGCACACTGATGCGCTGAGAAACACTGACCCTTCAGCCCTCGGAGTGACCTGGTGTGGTCATGGATGACCTCACCTAGGGGTCTCCGTGTGCCATATACACACTCCTATTCGCAGGGTCATGAATGTCCACAAGGTTGGAACACAGTGACACAGGCAACCTACTCCTCTATCAGCATGAACTTCCCAAGAGCATTTAAGAATCAGGTGGAAAATGTAAAGGTCCCTGGGAGAGGTGTCAACTCTAAGTTTCCAGAATCTCAACAATCCCACAGGAAACACGCTGTCTGCAAACAGAATAGGAGGGTAGCTCAGAGTGAAGATGGAGACCTCACCGTCCAATACACGTAACTAGTAACTACATGTGGCTACTGAGAACTTGAAATGAGGCAAGTCTGTATTGAGATATGTTTAAGTACAAAATACACACCTCATTTTGGAGACTTGGTATGAAGAAAATAACATAACTAGGTAAGTAAACTTACGTGTTCCTTTACTTTTTAAAAAGTGTCGGCTGGACATTTCTGAATGACATATGTGGCTTATACTCTTATTTTTCTTGAACAACACCGGTTTAGACCAAAGGCTCTCTGCCTTAATACCGATAGAATATAAGCAAAAGGTGGCGTTGCCTGGTGGCAGCAGTGAACATGTTATAACTGCTCTAGGTGAACTTGAAGACAGCCTTGTCTTTTTGCCTGTTCCTCTGGTTTCTGTAGCAGCGGTGGTTTGTTCTTTTGTGTTTATAAAGCATCCATCCAATGGAGTGTGCAATCTTGACTGAAACAGTAGTCCCGTGTTATAAAACTGCTACCACTCACTGGCTGATTGTTCCATGCTACACACCATGTTGTGTGCTCAGTCTCTTGTTACTTCATCTATTCCTCGCATGAGGTCATCAGGGCAATTACAAATGAGGAAATTGGGTTTCAGACAGTATCTAACTTGTCCCAGCCAGCTTAAGTCTCATTTCAAACTGCACTCCCAACCATTCTGCTGCACTGCTTCCTATAGGAGGGTGTGGGAGAAACCTCTGATGGAAGCATCAATGCTTAAGGATATCGCCCTCTGCATTGCAGCCTTGGCTCCCTGGGCTCACGGCAGAGCGAGCAGTTCTGAGTGCCTGGCTAGGGAACTATCTGGGAGGCTTGAACAGGAGCACAGCAGAAATGACAGGAAACAGGAGGGGCTCTGGTCTCTTCGGACAAAAGCTCAGAGGGTGGAGTCAGAAGGGACATCCTGCTTGGCTTTAGACACCAAGCCTAATGCCACACAGGTCCCTGATTGGCTCAGAGGGAGAAGCATGTCATTCTCCGTGTAATCAGCAGAGAAAGCTATATTAAGGCAAGGACAGACACGTTTATTTGCTCAGTGTTTGGAACACTGTGACAACAAAGGTGTTTTGGGGAAACTTAAAATTTTATGGAAAGTAATGACATCACTGTTAATCACTTAGTATCTTTGATTATTGAGTAGCGAGGGCAGGCACCCATCCCATCTCCCCCTTAACTTTCAGGGAGTTTTTCCTCTTCATGCTAGTGCTTTATTGGGCATGGGGGCTTCCTGTGGGGGGCAGGATCAAAGACCACAAAATAAATACTCAGATCAGAAATCTGGCATTTAGGCCAGACCAACCTGCTAAACTTCAGATTATATTTGTAGCTAGAATAGAACTGGAAAATATTGATTAGAAGCCTCAGATTGTCAAAAGCAGCTGCTCAGGTATCAAAGATGCTACACTCCTGGTGGAAACAGGTGTGAGCAAGAGTGAACATCACAGGCCAGAGGAGGAGTCTATTTCAGCAGCGCGGGATACATACTAGCTGGTTGAAGTTCCTAAGAGATAGGTGGAGTCCCCAGGAGGGAAGATCCTCTTCCTCTCACACAAACCTCTTCAGAAACAGGACCAGAATGTCCGCATCAAAGCCAAGGCCAGTGCCCATCCTCGGCCTTCTAGGAGTAGCGTGTGCATGGTTACCTAAAGGAATGGCTTTTGGATCCAAGGACGTTGCTTTGTTGCAGATCCAAGAAATCTGATCTCCTGCTCTATACCAGTTCAAACTTTGTTCCACTTTCCCGTTTACTCACTAGGACCTCCCTATTCAGGGAAGTGAGCTCAGCTGTTTGCAAGAACTGAGGCCACCATAGGGACGTTTGATGTCCACACCCTGACTGGTAATAGTCTCCTTTTACTCACTCTTATTTCCTAGGATGGTCAGCACAAGACCTTCAGGAATGCTCTCTTTAGGAATCTGTAAGCAAAACCCAGAAAGAAACTGGCTGCACCACCCAGTGTGGAGTACTTGATCAGCTATGAAGCCACCAGAGTCCTAGGATTTTAGGACAAGAAGCTGGTAAGGTCACAGGCCTCTCTGCCCCTTGCCATTTACAGAGGCTCAGTGACAGTCTTGTTCACTCGGGAAGCCTGAGGCTGTTGCCTTTTCACACCCTGAGATTTGAGGGAGTGTGTGAGGGCAGGGGTGATGGCTCGCCCCTCCCTTTTTCTTTCCCTCTGGGAATCACAGGCTCAACTCACTAATTTCAAGTGGGTCAAACACCTTTTCCTGCCTCCCACTTTCTGGAGAAGTTCAAATCCACACAATCGAAACCTTCACTTTTTCTCTAAACATGGTCAGACCGCTGATTTACAAATTGAAGGGGTACAAGGGGAAAGCAAGAAGGGAGGACAAGCAGCTGGGGAAATTCTAGAGGTCTTATGACAACCCCACCACCCTGGATACAGCTAATTTTATCTGATCTTGGATATTGAACAGCTGGCTCTGTGTCTGGTTTATGGCCCAGGCTGGTTAGCATCAAGGAAACCGTAAATCAGGCAGAAATAACGCTCCCTCTGTGATAGTCTGCAGGAAACAGAGATGGGATAAAGTAGCTAGACATCAAAGCGCCACCTCCACTGACATAGAGAACCAAGCTCTGCACCTCCGCTGGCCAAGCACAGGCTACCTTTGTTCCAAAGCCTTGTCGGATGAAACAACGTGGCCTCTTTCTTCAACCACCATGGTACTTGTAGGCATAAGAATCTCCTAGAAGGGGGGAAGGACTAGAGAAACAAAGTGGAAAACCCCATGCTCCCTCCAGCAGCCACAGTCCCTATAAATCCCACCAAATTGGTTTTAACCTAAGGCAATTCCACTCCAGCCAGTGAACCACTGTGCACAAAGTGGGTGGGCCTGTTACTATAGCAATGGTTCCCAGATGCTCACCGTTACCTGGACCACAGCACCTCTGTCTCCTTCTCTGAAGGCAATGGAGAAATGGAAGGGGCTGAACTCAGCAGAGATCATTAGAGCCCACCGAGGGAAGTCTAGAAGTGAGGGCCCAGGTCATCATGGGATTCTCCCGACCCCAGAACTCAGACAGTATGAGTTGAACCCCCATGCTCTCACTCCACAAATGCAAGTCTATAGGGTTTAATTTTAATTAAAATATTCACTTGTCTTCCTTATCACAGGTATTAAAACAAAAATATGAAAATGAAGATAAGCAAAGAGAATAAAAAACATAGATAGCTCCCATCATCCAGGGAGAGCCACTTTTAGTGGTTGGTATATGTAGTCTTTGCCATGCAACTTTGTGTGTGTTTTTTTTAAACAACAACAACAACAAAAATGGAGTACTATACCTGTTGTTTTATAAAGTGCTTCCTCAGTTAATACATTGTGACTATCTTTCTAAGTCCATAAATGCACTCATTTTTAATGACTGCCTGGTCCTTAGTCATATGGATTCTTATATGTTATTTATCTAGGCCCCCGGTTGGGCATAAAGGTTGTGTCCAATTTTTGACTGTTATAAAAAAGCACTGGGGTAAAATCTTATCATATGATCTTATTTCTTCAGGATAAGTCTCCAAAATGGAAATTTCTGAGTCAAAGATGCATATATTTTTAAGGCTTTTGAGTACATGTTGAAAAACGGCTATCAATTCTCCTACCAGCAGTATATGTTTATTTCTTCAACTCTCACCAGTGCTGAGCATCATCAGTGTTTCCTTCTGTTTGTTTTTTTTTCTATTACAGTTTATTGGGGTGACAATGGTTTGTAAAATTACATAGGTTTCAAGTGTACAGTTCTGTAATACATCATCCATATATCACATTGTGTGCTCACCACCCAGAGTCAGTTCTTCCATCACCAGTGTTTTCTTCTGGTTTTGACCATGCCTATTTGTAAGCACTTATGAATACAACTGCCCCCCACTTATGTTTATTCTGATTAATATTAATTTGCATATATAAAGGCCCCAAACTGTGCTGGATCTAAGGATCCAAGAAGGGACACATAGTCTCCTGGCTTCAAAGATTCTCAGGGAAGGGAAATCTGTAAACACAAAGAATCTAAAATTATTCAGTGTGGGAGTACAGATTTTAAGAAGTTTATATATGGGAGGGGCAGAGGGAACACAGAATATATAATACAATATTGTTCCTAGAATCCGACTTTTGAGATCATGACTTGTATGATGACACACCCATGAAGAAAGAGTGCTTCTTTACTGAATTCCTACTAAATGTGAGGCACCATGCTAAATAATTATGTATGAGCAATTTCACAATATCCCTGAGAGAGGCATTGTTAAACTCATTCAGAAGGTGAGGAAACTCAAGCACAGATTTAACTGACTGGCCCAAGGCCACATATATCTTGATAAACATCTGAGGCAAAGAAGAAATCCATGAAATTCTGCCCATGATTAGAGCAAAGGTGTCTTTAGACTGAGAGAGATGACTTTGCAAATTGATGCTAAGCTGTCCTATCAGAGGACAGAGGGGTTCTGAAGCTCAGTGAAGAAGCAGTTATGGTGAATTTTGTTTTGGAGAAAAGCAATCCCTCTAGCCCACGGTGTTAGAAATGGCCCTCTGAGACAGGCCAGAGCTAAGGTGACTGAGGAAATAAGTAGAGAATAGATATTGGCTCATCTTTCCCTCTTCTCACTTCAAATTGTCTCAGAGCTTCTCAAACTTTAGTATACTTAGGGATATATGAAGGTCTATTAAATGCAGATTCCCAGAGTACACCCAAGACATTCTGGTCCTAGGGTCTGGAGTGGGGCCCCGGAATCTGTATTTTTAACATCAGGAGATGTTATAAGTGGTCCTTATATCAAGCTTTGAGGATCATAGCAAATCTGCTGTGCTGGAATACTCCTGAGATGAATGGCAGGTGCCAGCCTCTTCCCTACCTGGCAGATCCAAAAGAAAGCCCATGTTAGATAAGAATTGAACCCTTTATATTGATGTGCATTTGCCTGCTGATGGCTGGCTTGTCTTCCCTGGGGACAGCAATCGCTTCCTAAGGGTCTTGCTTCATATAAAGTAATACTTTGTATGTAAAGTAGTACATCTGTAATACTTCACATGTATTTCTTCAACAAAGAGCTGCCCCTGGCTCCTTGCCCTGACTTGTATAAAAGGAGAGTGAATATTCATTTACCAGTAACCTCTCCCTGGTGCCCTAGGCCGGGGGGAGGGACATAGGCTGCTAGTTGTGAGTAAACCCTCTCATAGCCATCAGATCACTTATTCTAGAAAAATTATAAGACTAATCCATCAGGTGATAACTATCATTATTACACAATCAACATCATCAATCTTTATCATCATTATCATCATCATCACCGTCATGTAACATTGACAAAAAGGCTCTCTTTGCCCAGACATTGTACCAAGCGCTAGGTTTGTATAGTCTCTTTTAATCCTTACCATATGTCTTTGGGGAAGATCCCACTACAGTTTTACCCCCATTTTATGGATCAGCAGGTGAAGGCATAGAGAGAGGAAGTAACACGACCTAGGTTACACAGCTAACATGTGGTGGAGTCAGAATTCCAGCCCAGGCCATCTGCTGACACTTGGATGGTTTCCATGATCTTCCTTTTGCTCGTGGAGAGGGATCCGAGGGTTGGGCTGTGAAGGGGGGCTATGTGACTTGCCTAGGACCATAAAGTTGTCGGTGGTATCACTGGACCAATTACCAGGGCCTTGCTGGCTCCTTGCCCTAGCCTCTTTCCACAAGATTGCTGCTTCTATTGTAGATGTGTTGGGACAGATTCTGAAAAGGAAAGGCTTCGGTTAATTAATGGCACTGAGTAGAAAGCAAGCTGTGGTCCTCAGGGAACTCTGCACTGTCATTTCAGCTCCTGGCATGAGTGGTCAGGAGGCGAAGCCTCTCAGAGTTTTGCAGTGATCCAGTGTCATCCATGGCTCCCAGGATGGGTGCTGAGGCCACACTGAGATCTGGATTCTGTTTGGGGGTTGAACCATGATGCCCACCCAACACTAGTTCTGACACTCGTTGTCAGTGTGCTGGTGACTTGGCTTGAAGCTGCTACACTCACTGTGGGTCTCCAGGCTCCCTGGAACATCTCCCATCCTTTCAGTGTGCAAAGGCTGGGTGCGGGCCTCCAAATTGCCATGGACAAGATCAACTCCGAGCCCATGGACCTTGGGAACCTCAGCTGGTAGTTCACTTATACTAACTCAGCCTGCAGTGCCAAGGAGTCTCTTTCTATTTTCATCACCAGGTCCTGAGAGAACAGATTTCTGCTCTATTTGGACCAGCATGCCCAGAAGCAGCAGAGGTATGCAGCCTTCTGGAAGCTCTAGCTGAGTTTCCATTGGAAGGGGTGGTCTTTAAGATGGTGGTACAGACTTGGAAAATCTCTTGACAAGGATGGCCTGATTATAAATTACTGTGTAGGTCTTGGGTACCACTTCTTTGAGTTGGAGTTAGACCATGTAATTAGAACAGTTCATATTCTCTTCTCAAAAAGCCTTTCAAATCAATAATTGTAAGTTCACTCACTAGCTTATGGGTGGTCACTAACAAACTTGTTGATTGTTTGGACTTGGTGCTGTTGCATATAGCCTTATTCACTCTAATGTTGTCAGCCATGTGGCTCAGAACAATTAAGAGGAAAATGAGTGCTTGGTTTTAAATAGAAAAAATGTCATTTGTTTGTGTAGGTTTCCCTTTGGTTCATGTAATAAATTATTGAGTGATGGTAAAAGTACGTGGGAAAGAATGAAGGATGACAGATGGCAATAAATGAAGGCAAGAACATGAGAGAAACGAATGACTTGTATTTGTTCAGTTAATGGGTTTCACTTTGTGGAAGTTCTTGCGTGTCTTGTGCTCTGAGAGGTGTTGATGCAAAGGCTGAAGATCAAGAAGCATCGCAGTTCTCGCTCTCAAAAACACTGCAGAACTCTCATTAGTGGGCGCTGCAGAATTAAGTTCACAGTTCACTTTGAATCTTGTTCTCTCCTGGAAATCCCCATTTGACGCATTTCTTGCTGCCCAAAGCCTTCCCTGCTCAAATGCCATAGAGCTTTCTACATCCCGCCATCTTCACCTCCATATCCCTAATTCCCAAATCAGAAGTAATTTCTTTTCTAAACTCCTTTAAATCAATAGTCTGTCAATAGTGAAGGGTGTATTTAACTCTAAAGCTATTTTTATATGTCTTAGATCCTCTAATACTCAGAGATCATAAAGTCCTTTAAAAGCAAGGTGTCCAAAGTCCCTTGTAAATTGTAGGCTCCTAATGAAACATGGATGAGAAATGAATAAGGAACAAATTAAGAAAGAAAGACTAAGAGAGTGAGTAGTAACTATCAATCGGGGCTCTGGATTCCAAGTCCATTCCACTCTTTGCTACCTTTGTAACTTACATCTCTGTGCCCCCGTGTTTGCATCTATGAAATGGAGTAATGATCATACCCACCTCATAGAAATGTTGTAAGAATTGAGATGATATATGTAAACGCTTAGTAAAGTGCTTGGCACATAGTAAGCTCTCAATAAATGCTCACAATGTTTATTCTTGTCTTCTAAAGCCCTGCATCCTCAAGTTGGATACAAGACATTATCTGTCATCAATATGCCACAAAACAGGCTCCAGTATGACCCACAGAGTCACTGAATCCAAAGTTTGTGCAGATACCTTTCAATGGGGTTTGAATGTAGCATAAATTCAGTAATGAAAAGACATTCTTTTGGTTCCTTTCAAGGTTATTGGTTTGCTGGTTTCTGAGTGGAATATCCCCATGTTTGACTTCATAGGACAAACAGCCAAACTGGAGAATGACTTCTTGAACAACACCTATGTGAAACTCGTGCTACCCATGCATGACGTTGGTGATGTGCTCCGGAAAAGTCTCTGGTACCTGGGCTGGAAACATGTTGGGATGTTTGGAGGTCACGCTGGGATTTCCTCCTGTGACAGAGTGGATGAGTTGTGGAGGGCTGTAGAGAATGAACTCAAATCTCATTGCACCATCACTGCCAGGGTGAGATACACCAACAATGATCCAGCCCTCCTGCAAGAGAATCTTAAGACCATGTCAGCAATTGCCAGGGGTAAGTAGGAAAGAGTCTTCTGTTGCTTATGTTTGGAGAGACAAGTAGGAAAAGCAGATAGGAACTCTTCACTTTTCTATGGATGTAAAAAGTAGATGGAAACAGGGTACACAATTAATGATACATAAAAGCAATTTTCCTTGTTAGCACAACATCACTACCAACAAAATTTTTTTTTAATCTAAAATGAAACCCCATATGCTATAGTGTTATGATGCATTGAATAATTTCTGAAAGCATCTTCCAGGTGGGCTGGGTGCTGGACTTGGGCTGTTGTTCAGAGCATGGACTCTGCAGACAGACAGCCTAGGTTTGAAATCAGCCTCTGACACTTTCTGGGTGTGTGCCTCGGGCAAAATACCTTAACCTCTCTGTGCCTCAAATACCTTATCTGTAAAAGGAAGATAATCATCCTACCTACTTCACAGAATATTGAGGGTTGCATAAGGTCATGCCTGTAACGTTCTTAGCACCGTGTCTGGACATAGTTATTGGTCAATGTATGATAGCCATTATTTTTGTTGTACTTATAGGGTTTGTTTTCTAGTATGAATTCATAACTGATGGCTTTCTGTTCTTTAAATAAACAGCCTTTCTGGCCTTGGCACTTTGGAACTTGCTGATCCCAAGTGCCACCTGCCACCCCATTGCACCCCATGATTCACTTGTATAGTGTCTATCAGACCGTCAGCTCCGCGAGGGCAGGAGCCTTCTGTCTTGCTCACTGCACAGTGCCTGGCACATGGTTGGAGCTCAGATAAATACATGATAATTTGCCTCATTTAAAGAATGTCACTATGTCATTTGTGTGTCTTCAAAATGCATGTTGACATGTTTGGATGAAAGAAAAGTACCATGGCCTACTCCTTTTTCCTTCATCCCAACTCAAAAATTGTGAATGCTCCTGATTTGAGGTCCTCCGTCAACTCTTCCTGTGTGGCTGAAGACGAACAAGCCAGGTCTTTGTTCTGAGTCAATGACACAGAGAAACTAGAGCACAGAATCAGTCTTCAACTTTTTTGACTTGTACTTCAGGAGAGAGCTGCTGTGAGGTCTTTTGTTCCGAGGGGCAAAAACTGCCAGTTTGTATACTGGTGGTGGTTTAAGAAGTGTATACTCTGGGAATAGTTTAGGCATTCCTCTCCCCTAACACATGCTCAGGGAAAGAAAAAGTTCATGTCTCATTTGGAGCAGTTTCAGGCCATACTTTAAAAAGTATGTGTGTGTGCGCGCGGATGCGCGCGCGCAGGTGCACATGTGTGCTTGCACGTGTGATTGGCTGACTTTGTTTTCTATTATAGTTATCATCTTAATCTGCAACTCAGAGGATGTAAAAATCATTCTGCTGGCTGCAGAGAACCTGGGATTCAACACAGGAGAATTTGTTCTCATCATTTTGCAGCATTTGGAGGTAGGTATTGATGACCCCTGAACGGCTCCCACTGTAAGAGGTGACAAGTATGGAGCACGTGCCAGGTGCCAGCTGCATTCCCTCGCTGAAGGCTCACCACAGGCCCATGAGGCAGGCACTCCTGTGTCCTCATATTAAGATCAGGAGACTGAGCTGAGAGCACTTACCCAGAGTTCTTTGGCCCAGTCAGTGTGAGTCTGAGCCAGGCCTTGAACTAGGGGGCTGGTGCTGGAGCTTGGCCCTCTGCAGTCTGTCAGCAAACACCAGCTGAGGAAGAACTGTCACTTCTACCAGGTCACTGAACCCTCCCCAAAGGACTCTCAAACACAAGTGGCTCCCACTTCCTTTTCTTCCTCGGCCACCTCCCTGTGTCCCTGTTGGAGTCCTCACAAAGGCCTGGACAGACCAACATACCAGTCTGATGAGGCAATTCTTGGGTGATTTGGTTGTTTTTGGTAACGACAGGAATAGCTCTGATACATCACGTGCTTCCTGTGGGGACTGAGCTGTACATTTTACATGCACTGTTGTGCTGATATTACCAAGAGCCCCACGAGGCAGGCATTCCATGCATTATCTGTGTGCACCATCACATTCAATATTTGCAACAGCCTTGTAAGGTAGGTATGATTAGCATTCCAACTTACAGATGAAAAATTGAGGCTTAGATAAATAAGGCACCTTATCCAAGATCTCAGGCTTCCCGAGGAGCATAGCTAGTCTTCTAACCCGGATCTTTTGGACTCTGGGACTGACAGAGCCCCAATAGCTCTGGCTTATGGAGTGTTTACTGTGTGCCAGGCCCCATGGTGAGCTCTTGATATACTAAAACTCATTTCGGCTCACATCACCCTCTGGGGAGATACTTTTATTTTCCGTATTTTACAGGTGAGCAAACTGAGGCTCTGAGAAGTGAAATAACTTGCCTGCGGCCACATGACTAGTAGGAGAAAGAGCTACTATTCAAACCCAGGTGAGCTGGCCTCAGTGTCTGTGTATTTAGCCACATTTTACACTAGCAGGATTCTGAAAAAAGTCACTCACACGAAGCTATGGACACACTGTCATTTTCCCAGTAGCTTTATCTTTCTTAAATGACCTTGTTTATATGACCCTAAGAAGCTGAAATAGGGCAAAAGGGAGTAGAGGAAGATGTATAATAATGTTCCAGATTATCTTTCTCTTTTTATCGTGAAGTGTTTTGGATGGCCAAAAGAGTCTAAGGTTTCTTTGGGCAGCCGGTGGGGATTCTAAACCTATGACAAACTTTCCAGAACATTTTCCTGCCTTCTTTTTCCATTGCTGTCTACCCCTTTCTCTTCATTCATCCTCTTACCTCTGCCTTCTGACGATGAGGAGAGGAGAGAATGGGCCAAGTCTTAGCATTTGCTGAAGCCCTTCCAGTGCCCTGGTCGCTTTCTCCCAAAACCTCACATTCCAATTAGCTCGTAGTGGCAGAAAGAATACGGAACTAAAAATATACCACACAACATCCACGCAATTGAATTCATGCTGCTTCAAAAAAGAATCACATAAATCCATTCTATGAGTTCCCAGTATAGGCTTCAGTGGGGGGAAAAAAACCACACTGCACAATAGCACTATAGTATGATATTATTTATGCAAAATGCTCACACACATCTATGCCTAGAATGTGTGATTCCTTCTCAGAATGGAGAAAAGGGAAGCAGTAGGGAACTTGGGGAGATCCTACAAATATATATATGTATATATATTTGATATTATTTTCATAGCAATAATAATATAGATAATGAAAATAACAAACCACTTAGTCCACAAGCAGAAAATTGAGAGTTGACAGTCCTGTTTTTCAAGTTTTTACCACCCATTTTTTAACAGGTGAGCTTTTTGTATTTTAGCTGCTTGCTGTCAACCTGATTTTTAAAATTTATGTTTGTTTATTTATTTACTTATTTATTGGCTTCCTTCCCACTGCTTCGATGCCAGCTAGAAAAATGTGGACCTTGCATGGCACACCTTCCAGAGTCATTGTGGTTCTGAGGATTAGAATGTAGAGATTCAAATTTGACCTCGACTTTTCGCGGTTCCATTGCTCAGGGTCTTTTTCTACAGAACAACTACCTTGATGTCATGGTTTTTCAGGACAGTTTTTGGAAGGAGGTATTGACCAATCCGAAGAGCATGCACTTCCCCACAGTCTACGAGTCCATCTTCTCATCACCCTCAGCTCCTACGGAGAAGGCCCTGCAGATGAAGGCTTCCGACAGCACGTCTACCGAAGGCTGAGGGGGCCACCCTTCCACAGCTCCATCTCCGCGGAGGAGCAGGTCTGACGTGGGGTCATCCTCTCCAGGCCCCTGCCCTCTCTTCTTTGAGGATATTTGTGCTTTGTTTTTCCATTCTCCCTCTTAGTTCCCCTCTTCTCCCCCCACCCCCCAACACACACACACACACACACACACACACACACACACACACACACACACACTTCCTCATCTTCCACAGCCCAGAATAAAAAGTGGTCTGATGCTCTCTTGTGAAATCTCCACCCCAGAACCACAGAGGAGAACAGAGGTTAGTTACCAGGTGAGAGACCAGGTGGCTTTTGGAATCAGAGACCTGGGCTCCCATCCTAGTTCTGCGATTTACCATCTGTGGGACCTTGAAGTGAGCTGCTTAACCTCCCTACACCTCAGTCTTTTCACCTGGAAAATGGGACTGATAATGACATCTGCCTCCATCCAGCCTGTGGTTTTGCGAATCTAATAACATAGCACATGGAAGCAGCAGAACAGAAACCAGTGGTCCTCAGACCATGACAATTTCCTTTCCCAGCAGGATACCAGGACCAAGGACCATAATGGAGTGGTCAGAAATGTGAAGGTAGGACAGGTCAAGGCAAGCAGATGGTCTGGGACAAGAAGTAGGCAGTCAGGAGAGAGAGGATCAACCAGTGGTAGTCCCAGTGTGTGTGGGAATCTTTCTAGGAATCACTGGCCCGGTGTTTGTGGGCTCCCAGGGAGAAAGGCGCATGGATTACTTGGTCTATGCCCTACAGAGATCCAGAAATGGGTCCCTCTTTCTGCCCGTTCTTCACTATGACAGCTATCAGAGAGTAACCAGGTACTGATGGGACGTTTCATCGCGGTTAGTTCATACATTACAGGAAGAGACCTGGGAGGAGAGAGAGGGCGGGGGGTCCCGCTGGGAAGCCAACTGGGATCCAGTTGCTGTAACCCACCACACGTTGCCTGGTTCTTTCTGAACTCCAAAAGATCAACTTTGGGCCTTTAAGGTGATCTTGCCCTTGATTGTGGATGTGGCTTGGCCACTTCAGACTCAAGTTTAGAATACAGCAGCGCACTTAACTGCACCTCCACAGGGGCCTAGGCCACTCCTGGGACCTAGTCGGGCAGGTCACACTGGCCAGTGGTCTCTAGGAGAGGCCCTGGCCCAGGGTGGTGATGGAGCATAGCGCCCCCTAGGGGGTTGGGTCCACAGTCCTGGAAACAGATTCAGCCAGCCTGCCTCCCTGACAGAGAGCCCTGTGGACCGACACCACACCTGGATGCCACCCTGGGTTCCCAGTACTCAGGAGCCCCCCCCCCAAAAAAACCTCTCGTTCAACATCACTTAGCATTAGGGAAATGCAAATTAAAACCACAATGAGATACCACCTCACCCCGGTCAGAATGGCTATTATCAATAAATCAACAAACAACAAATGCTGGCGAGGCTGTGGGGAAAAGGGAACCCTGGTGCACTGCTGGTGGGACTGCAGACTGGTGCAGCCATTATGGAAATCAGTATGGAGGTACCTCAAAAATCTGGAAATGGAACTATCTTATGACCCAGCAATCCCACTCTTA